TGCTTGATGGAGTGGTGGATAACTTATTTGCTTTTTCTATGGTGTGCATATTGTTTCAGAATTTCAAAACCATTAAAATATTATGCTCATTTTATAGATGGGAAGCTGAGGCACAGAGAGATTAAATAACTTGCCTAAATTCACATAGTAAGTCTGTGACAGAGCAGGGAATTGAACCCAGAACTCCTGAGTCTTGGTCCACTGTTTTAACTACAAGACCACCATTTCCTCATCTTACTGCTAGGGAGGTGAGAAATAATCTCTCCTTCAAGGGATGAAGAAAGGAGCAGCAATTAGGAAGGAGGAAAGCCTCCTGTCAGTAGGGTAAGAGTTCAGGGGTGTTTCAGATTGGGCACCTAAAAATTGAGGCATCGAAAAGCACTAGACACTTTTTAAAATGTAGGCCAAGGACTGTAAGGGTTAAAAGCAGTATTCTATCCTATTATATCAATGCACACTGTGATGAAACCTCATTATAATGACACTCAGCAGGTTGCATGAACAGTGATGCTTTTTCTATGTGGAATTATACACTAATTCAGAAAAAAGTCCAGAGGTAAGTTTGCTTCCCCTACAGAAGCATATTTGGCACAGTATAATATATTCCAACATAATCACTGTCAGTAACACACTCCTGCTATCTCCATCACAATGAATGCCACAACATAGTCATGGCATATGATTCTGTAATCTAATGCAAAGTTACGGAGCCGCAGAGAATTCAAAGACCTGTGCTCTTGAATGACACTATAAACATGCATACCACACGGTGCTTCTGCTAGAATGAGGTTATTGCACAGCAGGGAAAAGAAAATCTAACACTGAAAGTGAGTAAAACCACTATTAATGGAATAAACACTGATCATGACTGCAGTATCCAAAGCTAGGCATGCAATAAAGTTCTAAACCAGGTATGTTAGAGCAGGATTTTACTGCACCAACACTATCATCTTACACCAAGAACCTGCCTAATAGATGCAAAGAGAAAATAATATTGCCCCAGAATTATATATCTCATTATTGGAAATAGATCACATCTCTTGGTCTACCTCAATTACGTTTTATCCATATGTAATTGCATCTTCTGTAGCTGATAGGGATGATATTTATTTCCAAGACTGTAATCAACAAATCCAGTTTTCAAACTTCCAGGCTTATGTAAGGCCACCTAGTTCTGCATGTGGGC